GCAAGGGGCGGAGAGGGCATCTCTTCGTCTCCATCACCTGAGTCATCAGGAGACGAGGGAAGCGGAGCGGTCGGGTCGCGTTGCTCGCCTGGTCGGGCTCTCGTCAGGTCTACCAACGGTACGATGGCAGAAGGTGGGACAGGAAGAGCAGACGACGGCGGTGGAGGCGGCGTGAGCAGTGACGACGGAGGTGTCTCCACGACAGGAGGCTCGGGGTCTTCAGCGTCGGTGGAGAGAGCACCACGGGAACCATCGACAGGAGCGTCAGCAGGATCCATGTGAAGGGGGGCAGCCACTTGGCCCGATGGGTGGTCAGGAGCGATCGCAGGTCCCGAAGCCGGACCGACAGGGGCAGTCGAGGCGGATGGGCGAGAAGACGGGGCGGCTGCTGGATTCTCCATAACAGAGAGAGGATGGCTGCCACTACAGGAGTCTTGGAGCTGGGGGGGGTGGGTTCTTCTGAAGAGTCCACTTGTGGGTTAGCCGGCAGATTGAGAAGTGCGCGGGTAGCTCAGTGGTAGAGCGTTCGATTGCAGCTCGAAGGGTCACTGGTTCAATCCCGGTCCCGCGCTTGTTGTTGTTGCTCGGGGCCGAGTTGCGTTGGCATTTGTCGTCTTTACTCGTTTTATCCTTGTTATCTAGCCGGATCGATTCATCCGACTAGTAGTCCTCATCAACGAGCTACAGACAGAGTTTTGTTGCATCATTTGCGATCTGCCTGGTTGTCTGGAGGTGGATTGGAACCACCGACACAAATGACCATGATTTCGGTCAGTGCAAAATTCGTTACAGTAGGAGATGAGAGTTGAACTTCGTGCTGCGGACTACCGTACCGGTGTGTGTTCACGCCACGGCCTTGGTGGCGCTGCGGGAACCTCGTGTCGAAGACGAGGCTCGAACGGGTTGGTGTGAACGATCCAAAATACCGAACCGCTGGGAAGATGTGGAATGGCTGAGAGGATGCGTGGATCGGTGATGAGGCTGGAGATAAATGCATGTACGGATGGGGTGCGTATATATGACGTCAAATGCGTGTGTGAGGTGGGATAGGGTTATGGAAAGGTTCGACGCGCGGGTAGCTCAGTGGTAGAGCGTTCGATTGCAGCTCGAAGGGTCACTGGTTCAATCCCGGTCCCGCGCTTGTTGTTGTTGCTCGGGGCCGAGTTGCGTTGGCATTTATCGTGGCAAGTACTTGCGTACGCCTAGTGGAGAGACGATATTCTTCTGCAGAAGGAGAAAGGGCTTTACGAATGTTGGTTAGCGGAGCAACCACCGGCAGTAGAGCGAAAGGAGTATAAAACGCCTGCACGCGTTCTAGCGAGGCCGACCGAGGACTCGGTGGCGTCCAGAAAGTTTATGCTGGGTCATCCAGAGTCAGATGACAGGGGTGATGGCGCGAACAACCATAACAGTGTGAAGATCTATGATGATAGCGAGGCCTCGGTCGCCGCAGGGCTCGACGAAGAAACGAGCGGGGATCCCGACACACGACCAACAGAGTTTTCGGACGCTGGGGACGACAAAATAGACCCAGCCGAAGACGACATGTTAGAATTGACGTACATCTCCGTGATGCAAGAGATCGAAGCCGAAATTGCTTCTGGCGACAGGAGCGATGACGATGATTGGTACGAGCACATTCCGAAAGAGATGGAACTAGCTGACTACGCTCACGAGTTAGCAATTTTGCCCGACTTGACAGAACCCTCGTCGACGGTGCTAGACTACACAGGACTGAACGTCATGAATAAGAGTCTGAGCGAAGACGAACAACGAAAACTCGTCGAAGTTTTAAACCGTCACGAAGGGATTATGATTACTAGTGGTAATGCACTACCACCACCGGCATAAGGAGTGGTATGCTACATTGCTGTGCAGGGACACATGCCGATCAAACAAAGAGCACTGTGAACGCCATTACGAGTGCTGGAAAAGCTATACGAGTTGCTGAAAGGTCTATTACGAGCGGGATTGATCACGTTCTCAGACAGCTCATGGGCATCGGCCATTGTGATAGTGCTGAAAACGAACGGGGTTGGCATCCGGCTGTGCATCGACTACAAGCGAGTGAATGCTGTTACGACCATTATGGAATACGCAATGCCCCTGGTGGATGATTTACTGACTGACATGGAGGCGTACTTATGGTTTTGCTCGCTTGATGCGGCAAGTGGATGAATGCTGTTACGACCATTATGGAATATGCAATACCCCTGGTGGATGATTTACTGACTGACACGGAGGCGTACTTATGGTTTTGCTCGCTTGATGCGGCAAGTGAGTTCTGGGGTGTGATGATGACGGAGAGAGCTCGAAAGGTCTCTGCTTTTGTATGTGCACTTGGACATTTTGAATGGC